AGCCCAAGGAACCGGGCCTTATATGCGGTGGCCGATGTGTAGATCCCATCGTTCGAGTGCTTCCAAGAGATATCATCCTCAATCTGCTCATCAAGATGAACCTCGTTGACCAGCATCCAAAGAGTGAAGAATTCTCGAATGTGTTCATCGGAGACAATAGTGTTGTGGCTGGTTTTGAAGATCCAAGCATTGCCGTTTAGAGCCTCCCTCACCTTCTAGTTCTTTCTTCTCGAGGCCTCATAGATAAGCGGTGCAATGTCCTTGGGTTTCCGCCCGAGCAGCCAAGGGGAGTCCCAAAAAGGCGTTTTGGCTCCGTTCCCCACGGTGATGGCAGTGGAGGCATAGAAGAAGTTGAGATCATCCTCCGTGCAAGGATTGCCAAATCCCACCCATAATTTGTGAGGTTCCTTTCACTCATACCAAGGCCATCGAAGCCTTAGAGCCCGTGCAAATTTACCGATATTAAGCACCCCGAGGCCACCGTACTCCTTCGGCCTACAGACCGTATCCTAATTAACCTTGCATTTGACACCCGTCGTCTTGTTCGCCCCAGATCAGAGAAAAGCTCTTTCAATCTTGTTTAGGCTATGTAGAGTGCTTGGAGGTACGATAAGAGGTGTGATGGAGTACACCGCTTGGAAACATAAAACCGACTTGACCAGGGCCGTGCGGCCAATGGTTGTAATGTCCTGCCCCTCACCAGCAACCAGCTTGCCAGCCGCCTTATCCTCAAGATATTGGAGGGGTAAAAAGGTGGTGTCCAAATGGCAAACAAGTAGATTAAAACGAAGTACTATGTATCTTTGACCAAAGGCCTCAACAACTACAACATGCACTCCACAACTAGCATATGGGTGTCCTCGGAATCAAATAGAACAAACTCCAGTTTTTTTCCGGCAAAAGACTTCATTTCTCATATTATCGTCATATCGTTTACAAGATGATGAGAAACAAATTCAGTAATTTAAGAATCCCAAAGGCTGGAAGATCTAAATCTAAAGGAGTGTTTTGCTAACTCATCAACAACTTGATTAGCTTCACGGCAAGGGTGCATATAAGTAGATCTTCGAAACTCCGTCGCATTTGCTTGCACTCAATTATCACTGTAACATTCGGGCCCAAGTACTCGTCCATCAGTTGCACAGAGTTCACCGCAAAACTACAGTCAGACTCGATCTCTATACTGTTGCACCCCATGTTAGCCGCCAAGAACATACCATTCTGAACTGCTATAAATTCCGTAGAATCGACAGTGATAACATGTGGTAGGAACCAAGTTGTTGCTCCTACAAAATCACCCAGTAGCACCTGCATGTGTCTCGTTCACCTTGACAGTCATGACAGGGTCTTTTCCACATATGGTCAATCTTCTGGGCTGGCATCTTCGGTAAATTTGCTCTGATAAAATTGGTGGCTATTACTCATGCTCCGCCAGGCTGTACTCATTTTTGAAAGAATCTCCATTGTGATAGACCCTCACCTATCTTCGTTTCCAACATGCAAGATGCAACCAGGCCTCCTTTGCTCGCCTACATATTGTGGTGAATCTGGGATATGGCGCCCAGCTATAACCCAAAAGCAAGGAAGCACTCCGTGAATAACTTTCCACGCAAAGTGTTTTATCTTTCATGGAATCCGAAGGGTAGAGCAAGCAGCATGTTCTACCAATCCAGCCCGGGACAATAATCAACCTAAAACAAATGCACTATTAACCACAATCTTTCAGCCTTCGCAGACAAAAATGTTCCTTTGAAGATTAACAGGCATGGTAAAACAATCTAGTGGTGCAATGGGTGAAGTTTCTCAAGTGTACTTTTCTGCTCCAAAGGAGCAGGGAAGCGAGGGCATGAGAGTGAGGAACTCAAAGATTATTATAGATCAATAACCACGAATGCCAGGTGAAACCAAATTAACACAAGTAGATTCAACATGCATTCAGAAATGAAACTGCAAATGGGTATCAAATGTTTCACAATCTCTGATGTCACGGCGGCAGAAGGATTTCAAGTACTCTAAAACATTTAGCTAGAAGGGACTAAACCATTGATCATAACCACCAACAAAAATATTTTCCTTGTTTACAGAACACCATCTCACTTCGCACTTCCGTTTCAAACAGATTACTTTGAGGTCGTCTTGTCCTTGGTCTTCTGTATTTTCAACACCTTCTTCACGATCTTCTGCTCCTCAACCAAGAAAGCGCGGATGATCCTGAAGGAGAACACGAATCAAATGAGACTACATAAATGATAGGTTTGAGCTTTAATGAGATTAGATGGTTGTAAGGCAAAGTTTGCTCACCTTTCCCTCACCGCAGTTCCAGAGAGCACTCCACCATAGGGACGGTTCACAGTCCTGCGGTTCCTAGACAACCTTGATCTTTTGTATTCAGTAGGCCTGAGGTGGGGAATCTGGAAATGGAAACATCAGATCATGAGCCATCTGGTTGCAATATTCGTCAACCAAAGACAGATAGAAAGGCAGAATTCAAACACAAAAATGTCCTCCGAACTTGCAACAAGCATGGAAGAAGCATCTCATTTCACTAATAAAAACAAGCTGAGTGAGCAAATAGAGCTGTAAAAGTCACAAGGACCAAAAGAGCTGTGACATTCATTCCCTTCATGAGAGTTTGCTTTGCTGGTAGTAATATAATGCATTGCTTCCAATCTGATCGCATAATACAATCAACACAACTGAGCAACCTAGTGTTTGAACACACATTACTGTCTAAAAATTTATTAGTCTAAAGGCACCACTAGAAACAAATAAGTATAATTGAACCACCAAAATAAATACTACGATTGAAATATTGTTGAAATGCAGCATTGCTACTCTGCACAACCAGCTGTCCACGTACACCATCATACCAACTGTCGGACAACCAACTCCAAATTTGATACTCATGCACTGATGCAAACCACCAAAAGGAATAACTTCTTAGGAATGATACAAGGAAACGGTCTAAATATCAATCAGATTGACGATACGGTCAAATCGGCATCTACTAATTGTGCATCCCACCCCAATCAAGTCGGTAATCTGCGTGGTAAAGGCCTAAAAGATACTCTAAAAGTTGATAGCCATCCATGCGTAAGATGGAGATAATCAACATTTAGCGGCACATAATCATACAGACACAAGAATCCAACTCATCCACCATACAAACTGAGATATCGAATACTGCTATCATGACAAAGCGAAACAATCAAGAATTTTCATAGAGATGCAAAGCCACGCGGCAACTCACCCCCTGGATCTTCTTCCCGGTCACAGGGCACTTGGGGCCGCTCGCCCTCTTCTTGGTGTACTGGTACACGAGCTTACCACCTGCGGTACACAAGGAACAAAACCGACCGATTTCAGCGAAGATCTTGGCACGAACAAATCAGAAGCCACCAAATTATGGGAGAAAATCGTCCAGAAAAGAGGGGGAGGGGATCCAGACCTGGGGTCTTGACGACCCGCGTCTGGTTGGACTTGGTGGCATAGCTGTGCCTCTTCCGGTAGGTCAGACGCTGCACCATGTTTCCGTCGTCTCCGCCGCCGGCAGTAGGGGGCTTGCGCAAAGAGTGGGGAGAGAGAGAGGAGAGCGAGCGCGTGGCGGCTGGGACGGGTATAAATGGCCTCCCCGCGTCGCCGTGACCTAGCACCGACGGCTAGGATTTGCTTGATGGGGTAAATGGGCCAGACGTTCGATTGGGCCGTATGGGCTGTCTTATGAAGGCTTATGTTGTCAGTCAACGGCCTGGAGGCTCACGCAAATAGCAAGGCCCTCGCTAAAAAAAATTCAAAGAACGCAAATAGCAAGGCCCTGTCGAAAGAAAAAGCTTTATAGCTCCGCTAATATTTCGGCTCTCCTAAAAAAGGCTAATATTTTGGCTAACATTATGGTTTAGATTTTGATTGTAATTCTTACTTTGTAAAGTTTTGAATCTTGGATTCAACTCAACGTACATGTAATGGTTGTGAGTATGAATAAAATTACATATGTCCAAAAATAAACTTTTGATTGAGTTTGCCACTGAGTTGATCAACACCAGCAAAAAATATATAGAATGGGAAAAGAGGCATTGACATGAAAAAAGTACCATACACACAAACACCTTTTTTGTCATAAAAAATGTAAGGACATTTACACGTGTGTCCCTAACTCAAACCCATCACTCAAATTTGCCCCTAATTTTGAAGCATGCTCAAATTTACCTCTTTGCCGTCAATTTCACTTATAGAGATGCCCTTTTGTGTCGTTTCCATCCAGTCAAGGTTGTTTAATCACGGACTGGTTGTTGCTTTGACATATTTGCCCCTCCGTCCTTACATGTGGGCCCAAACATATTGGTTCGCTATATCTCTCTCATTCTCTTGCTCGACCCGCACACTCGCATTCTCTCCCCCAGATCGCCTCACCGCGTAACCCTAACCCTAGCGTGTTCGATCCATGACAAGTAAAGCTCCAGATCTATGGTGGCCACGCTGGAGATTCGGCATATACGACTCCATTTGTGTGTTGTGCTGCGAATTTGACGCAACCGCTGCGGATGGAGGGCGACGGTGGTTGCGGCGGCGGCAGCCAACAAGGGAGCACAACGCCAGGGATGGATACTCCGGTGGGGTAAGTACCCTGCTTTCAAAAATTTCAATCTTGCGTTCTTAATCATGATCCTCTTGATATTGAAACCCCTACTCATCTTAAAACAAAGATCTATCATGTGGGTGATGGGAACATTATTGGGAAGAATATTATTCAAGAACTCTTTGATTGCACGGGGGTTATGTATTTAGATAAGGGATCTATTCTTCATAATACAAATTGCTCGAATGCTATTTCCATGCTTGTGGTTAAGTTAGAAAGAGAATTTTTACATATTCATCCGCTTTACAAAAAATGTTTTATGAACTTCCCAACATACATGATCCTAAAGCTAAGAAAATTGCTACCATGACCCTTATGAATGAGTTCGATTACGTAATTAGAGAAGCTAGACAATTTTTTTCCTATTGCAATAAAAAAATGAGCATCCTCCCATAGAAGAAATTCTTCATGATAAAGAAACTATATGTGCTTTGGAATCTAAGGATTACCTCGCTTTTAGTACCAATCTAAGAAAAAGAGCCCCTTATCCGGAAGTTATCCAAGCTTTATATCTTTGTGCGTATGATAAATCGATTTGGTTTACGAACGGAATTGACAAGGGATCTAATAAGGAGTGGATTGAAGAGATGTCTAGGGAACCCATTAAAGATGAGATACATGTTCTATATGAAGATATTTTTGGTGATGATCAGGTGTATGAAATTATGAATGTCCAAATTACCAATCAAAGTCCTTTCCATCAATTAAGCTCCACCACTAGAAAGGAAGAACGTGAGAAAATAGATTTACTAAGATTTTTTGTAAGATTTGATTAAGAAATAATTGAATACCAAAGATGACAATACTTAGATCTATGCAATATGCCTAGCTAGGGGCATAAAACAATAGCGCTTGTTGGGAGGCAACCCAATTTTTTTTGCTTTTCCTTTTGTCTTCAATAAATATGCAATTATACTTCTGTTATGATTGTTTTTAAGAGTTTTAATTAGTGTTTTTGCCAAGTAGAAACTTTGGGATGATCTATGATGATAGTTGATTTGATTTTGCTGAAAAACGGAAACCTTTTTGCCGAGTTATGGAATTTTGTAAACTCACATAAATGTGCCTTTGATCTGAAATTTTTACACAATATTTATATACAAATTTCCTACATTTTCCTAATTTTTCAGAATTATTAGAGTGACATAAGTATGTCGTTGTTCGGATTGCTACAGACTGTTCTGTTTTTGATAGATTCTATTTTTTATGTGTTGTTTGCTTATTTTGATGAATCTATGGGTAGTATCGGGGGGTATGAGCCATGGTGAAGTTGGAATACATTAGATATAATGCCAATATAAAATTGGAATGAGTTTACAACAGTACCTAAAAGTGGTGACTTGCTTTTATCATACTAACGGATGTCACGAATTTTTTGTTGAGTTTTGTGTTGTGAAGTTTTCAAATTTTGGGTGAATTTTCGATGGACTAAGGAATAAGGAGTGGATAGAACCTAAGCTTGGGGATTCCCAAGGCACCCCAAGGTAATATTCAAGGACTACGAAGCATCTAAGCTTGGGGATGCCCCGGATGGCATCCCTTCTTTTGTCTACAATCCATCGGTAAATTATCTGAGGCTACATTTTTATTCACTACATGATTTGTGTTTTGCTTGGAGCGTCTTGTATTATATGAGTCCTTGCTTTATTTGATTTTTGCCACAATCATTCTTGTTGTGCAAACCTTTGGAGAGGGACACACATTAATCGTGAATTTATTAAAATACTCTATGTGCTTCACTTATATCTTGTAGAGCAGGGCGATGGTTATATTTTGAATAAATTGATGAACTCCCATGCTTCACTTATATTATTTTGAGTCTTATAAATAGTATGACAATTTGCTTAGGTTATGAATTTAGTCCTAATATGATGGGTATTCAAGAGAGATATAATAAAAACTTTCATGAAGATCATTTAATATATGAGAAGTTTGATTCCTTTGCATTTGTTTTGAGATATAAATATGGTGATATTAGAGTCATGCTAGTGAGTAATTGTGGTTTAGTAAGAATAATTGTGTTAAGGTTTGTGATTCCCGAAGCATGCATGTATGGTCACTCGTTATGCAATGAAATTGGAGTAGAATTTATTATTGATTGTCTTCCTTATGAGTGGTGGTCAGTGATGAGCGATGGTCTTTTCCTATCAATATATCCCCCTAGGAGCATGTGTAGTAGTACTTTGCTTCGAGGGCTAATAAACTTTTGCAATAAGTATGTGAGTTTGTCGGATTCCGGGCTCCGGAGACCCAAGAAAGGTTCGAACTTAGGGGCTTGTGCGAAGAACTCAACCTCTCAAGTTGATCGATCCGCTGCTCTCACGACCTGGCTCGATGAACACGACAGAGAAAGACACAGTAGTTTACCCAGGTTCAGGCCACCTTGCGGTGTAATACCCTACTCCTGTTTTGTGGTGGATTAGCCTCGCGAGGGGCTGAGGATGAACTAGTACAAGTGGAAGAACAACCTCAAGAGGCATGCTCTTGTGATGAGCTCTTGTTGGTTTGGTGAGCTGATCACTTGACGAGTCGATCCATCCCTACGGTGGTGGATAGGCTATATATATAGTGGCCTTGGTCCTCTTCCTACAAAACTTAGGTGAGAAGGGATCCCACAACGACCAAATTTGAAAGGGGAAAAGAAGTACATCTAATCATGACGAAAGGTGGTCTTCGCCTGCAAAGCCTCTGAGCGTGACGTGACGTCGTCGTGGGCTCGGTGATGACATCCATCCTGCCGTTCTGGCAGTCTTGGTCTCGTTGCATGCAAATGGCAACCTTTGGCTGATTCCTTGGGACTCCGCACATGCACTTGCCTCCTTTGCACCAAAGAGGAAACATGCTGCTCTACGCCCGCTGGCGCGTGCCTGGCCTTGGTCGGCATGGCTGATGTCATGTCAGCCTCATGAGGCTGGTCTTGCATAGAAATCTCCGCTCCGCTCAGGAGGCCGCCTAAGGAGGCCGCTCCCTCGGGAGGTCTTGAAGTCGCCCACCTCGCGAGGCTTGGTCCCTAGTGAGGGTCTTGTCTTGCTGTAGTCGAAGCTGGGACGTACCAGGCCGTCAATGAAGAAACGTCATGGGTTGCAGGCAGGCAGGTCTGGGTACCCTGGTTCCCAGAACGCCGACAGAAGCCCTCGGGCCCAAGGCGCGCTCGCACTTGGCTTCAAGGCGAAGCCAAAGGCAAGTGCAGAACGCCGCAGGCCCCAATAGCATGCGTGTCGTGACGACGCGTGGCGCTTGATAAGACGTGGGCGCCTCCGCTTCCCCATGTCGCCTCAGCAACCGTTCGACTTGACAATTGCATGTTGCATGCAGAGAAAATCATCATTACTGGAGATCGTGGGAGGCCGATGATTTACCTTCTCCTGGCTATAAATGCGGGAGCGGGCGGAGCCCCTGCTCATATTCGACTTCTTGTTCCTTGCTCCTCCTTCTCATTGCGCCGTCGTCTTACCAGAGCATCCATGGCGCCGATTAGGAGGTTCTTCGCAGCGGAGAAGGGGAAGGCCCCTGAGATGGAACCCGAGATGCTCCTGCCGAAGAAGAGGCCAGATCACTCCAAGGGCAATGCTGATGAGGTCGCGCTGATGCAGCCTTGGCACGAGTGGACCCCGTCGGGCTTTCTGATCCCCTTGTACGCCCGCGCACCAGGCCCTGCGCACGATGACCGGCACCGCGAGGAGCGAAGCCGTGGAGGAAGGCGAGCGACAACTGCGAGGTGCTTCCTTCGCGGACCCACGCCGAAGGCTCGGCCTGGGAGTTCATGGTGTGGGCGGCAACGCCGCCGCACACCTGGATTCGCCTCCCTAGGCCCTCGGCAAGGGAGACATCGTCGAGGGGGCCCGTCAAGTTGTGGCTGTAGCACGATGATGCGTCTCCAATGTATCTACT